TCGGGATAGGGAAACCAATCCCTCACCGGGAATTAGGAAAATTTAGCGCCTACCCTTCAATGTCTTCCTGAGCAACAACCGAGACTGATGGTGACAAAAACACAGGAGTGGTGGGAAGAAAGGCCTCTTCAAAATGGCCATCTGAGGTCCTCAAAATGGCCACCAGCCACGAGGTCTTCAACAAAAATAGCCGCTTCTGGCCACGAGGCTTCTCCTCTTTCCCAAGGGAGTTTTCTTTAACTCCCTGGAGCTTTGGTGCTCGGCAGAGGCAGAGGAGCTTCCAAAAGGCAGCTGCTGGATCACACGGCTGCCTGCTTCACTGCGGGGGGGAATCAGCCCCACAACTCTGTAGAGAGCGTGGCCAAGGCCCACTCTCTCCAAAATGGCCTCCTAGCTGAAAAACGGCCTCTTCGCCGTGGAGAGCCCAAAGCGGCCCCGCAGCTCTCTGGAGGGGGCGGAAGCTTCTGCCCTCGACAAATGGCCGTCCGGCTGATCGATGCCTTCCTCTTCGCCCTGGAGGGCTGAAAAAGGGCCCCCGCGGCCCTTGCAGGCTGCTCCGGACCTCCGGAGCAGCGTCAGCTCTTAGGCAGCCCTGATAGCCAGCTGAGAATTGGAGCCGCCAGATTTAAAGGAGAAGGCTTGTTACAGGCTTTTTTTCTTTTTTGAGAAGAATTTCCTTTGCAAGGCTGCCTTTGGCAAGAAAGTATCCAAAGGCAGGAGAGACAATTGTTACATCCTTCTTCAGCCAAGGACTGAGTAGAACTGGGGAGAAGTAACACAGAATGGGCAGAACTAGGCTAATAAGGCTTTTACACAGACTCAGTCCTTAGCAGCTGAAGAGGACTAACACTCATCCTGACCTGTTGCAGCCTTACAAGGGAAAAAAGCCAAAATTTAACTTTTCTAGCCACAATATTTTTGGCCAACTTTGCTCCAAATTATCTAGATCAGTGATGGCGAACCTTTTAGAGACCAAGTGCCCAAACTGCAACCAAAAATCCACTTATCTCAAAGTGCCAACACGGCCGCACCCTCACACCACATGTGAGCCACCCACCTTACCTCAGATGGGAGGAAGTGCTCCCATTGGGCTGCTGGGCAGAGGGGCCACCATGCTTCCATTCACAGAGCACACTTTCTGCTGCCCACCCTCCCCTGCACCTTTCAGCTTCAACTGGGTACTGGAGTATCTTGCTAATAAATCACTCTACTCTCAATTGGTATGGTGAAATTTATTACAGCAGTTCCAGTCCTGATAAGCAAAAACAGTATTTCCTGAATGAAGTCAGTGCTGAGAGCGTCTGCCTCTCAGTGCCTTTTATGCTGTGCTCTAGTCCCTCCCAGCTAACAACCTGACATCCACTACTGCATTATCTACTCCCGTGCCTCCTCCCCGTGCCTATTTGTCACTGCCTAATCTTTATTTACATTCCTTTCTTTCTCCATGCTATCTGTATCATCACCTACCTCCCATTCCCCACCACCCCCATCTATCTGAATCAGGATCATAAACCCCCACCGATATTCCCAAAGCCCTACATCGTGGTTTACATCAACACGCAGTCCGGCAATAAGCCTGATGACTGATTAGTGTCCAAGTGCCTCTCAGCTGTCTAGCTGTCGTAACAATTCAGCATAAATGACAGTCGTCCACACATCCATCAGTTTTGCTGCCCCAGCGATGTGTCCGAGCGAGTGCCAGACATGAGTAAATTCCCAGAGCCCGACATGCGGCCCCCCTCTACCATGGATCTGCCTGCAAGATAAGAAAAATTAGCAGATGCATTATTAGTCGTTTCCGCCCTCCCACCCGCCTTTGTGGGATGTTTGCGATATCTCTGCAACTGTGGAGCCGCTACATCAGTATGTTGCACCCAGGATGTATCTGCCATAGGGTCCCCCTTCCATTTCACGAGATACTGTAAAACCCCTCTATGTCTACGTGAATCCAGGATGTTCTCTATTTCATAATGGTCATCCCTCACAGGCCCTGAGGTTTTCAATCACAGTTCCAGTCTTAAACTATCTGCTGGTTTGAGGAGACTACTATGAAAAACAGGATGTACCCCTTTGAATCTTGATGGCAGTTGAAGTTTTACAGTGACAGGATTTATCACTTGCACCATGGGAAATGGGCCAATATACAGTATTTTGGACCCAACTACTTAACACGGCAAGCCTAAATTTATATATTTGGTAGATAGATATACCCAATCTCCTATAGCAAAAGGTACATGATCGGCTCGTTTCTTGTCAGCCTGCTTTTTATATTCTTCGGCTGCTTTGCTTAATGCCTTTTGTACTGATTTCCATTTGTCTTGCACATTTTCAATCCATTTCGACACTGTTGTAGACTCCCAAGCGGTATGGAGCCACTCAGGTATAGGCACAAATTCCATTCCATGTACTATGTGAAAAGGAGTGTATCCAGTACTACTATGCACAGTGTTATTGTATGCTATCTCTGCAAAGACAGCAACTCAACCCAGTTACTTTGTTGATACGTTATATAACATCGTAGATAACATTCTATTGCTGCATTGGCTTTTTCTGCTGCTCCATTAGTACACGGATGGTAAGCCATGCTTAAGCCTTGGGAAGACCCAATTAACTGTATAAATTCCCTCCAAAACCGTGAATTGTACCCCTCTATCAGATATAATTCATCTGGGAATGCCGTACAGTCTATATAGAGTATGTTCTTTATGAACAGGTCAGCTAATTGTCGAGCTGACAGAAGTCCAGCACACGGTATGAAGTGGGCCTGTTTTGAGAACAAATCAATAACTGTCCATATTACAGTATACCCATAGTTGTTTGGCAGTTCCATGATGAAATCCATCCCTATATCTTGCCATAGTTGTGTAGGTTCAGCAACTGTTTGTAACAAACCTAAGGGTTTTCCAGGATGTGGTTTTATCGTTGCACAGATGGAACATCCCTTTACGTATCTTTCGATTTCTGATCTCATTGCAGGCCACCAAAACTGTCTCTTCACGAGATGTAGAATTTTTAGAAACCCATAATGTCCAGCTGGCTTTACATCATGGCATCTTTTTAATACTAATGTCCTCAGTTTTTCAGGCACATATAATTTTTCTCCCTGCCATGCTACCCCGTCTCGCATATTAATTTGCATATGATTTTTCACTAACCATTGGTATTCTGCTAGTACAGCTAGAAAATCAGTTGTTATAATTTTGGTTCTCAATGAATTAATAGTATCAGCCTGGGGCATTATTAGTTGCACAATATCTTCTCGATGGCTGTTAAACTGTGGTAATCTTGATAACGCATCAGCCATAAAATTCTTCCCTGCGGGCACATATTTTAATACAAAGTTGAAACATCTAAAATATATTGACCATCGGACTCGCTTTGGGGATAAACGTCGTGGAGATTGGAGACCCTCCAGATGTTTATGATCTGTCCACACCTCAAATGGATGTGGACCTCCCTCCAACAGCAATGCCCATGTCAGCAATACCCATTGAACTGCAAATGCCTCTTTCTCCCAAATAGCCCAGTTTCATTCTGTTTGACAGAGTTTTTGGGATGTGTAGGCACATGGTTGCAACCTTCCAGTGTTGTCTCATTGTAATAGCACAGCCCCCACCACCACATCACTCACATCTGCCTGTATGATAAATGGGTTGTTGGGATCTGGATGCTTCAATACAAGTTCATGGCAAATAACCGTTTTAGTTCATTGAAAGCCTTTTGACAACTATTAGACCAGGGTAACCATTGACCTGGTTTTGGTTTTCCTAATCCTAAATGTTTTGTTCATAGCAAGCTGGTTAATGGCAATGCAATAGTTGCAAATTGGGGTATGAACTGCTGATAAAAGTTAGCAAACCCCAGAAAATACTGTAATTGTTTTCTGGTAGTAGGGGTTTGCCATTCCAATACCGTTTTCACTTTATTCGGATCCATTTCTACTCCATTTGATGAGATACGATATCCCAAATAGTCCAGTTTTGTACAATGGAACACACACTTGGAGAGTTTGATATATAATTGGGCAGCTAACAATTTTTTAAGAACTTGTCTTACCAACTGGTATATGTTCTCATGTTTCTGAATATACGAGAATGTCATGGAGATAGACTAACACCCCCCAATATAAATGGTCATGGAGAATCCCATTTATCACCTGCATAAATACAGCTGGAGCTCATTGAAGTCCAAAAGGCATAACCCTGAATTGGTAACTTCCAAGAGGACAATTGAACGTTGTTTTCCATTCATCCCCAGATCAAATTCGGACTCAATAGTATGCCTCTCATAAATCAAGTTTTATAAAAATCCATCCCTTATGTGGCCAATAAGTCCTTTATCAATGGTAATGGATATAATGGTTCCACGCATATAACCTTAAGGCCCCTAAAATCCACACACAAACACAGCCCCCCATCTTTCTTTACAGGGAAAAGTACTGGGGCTGTGATATGGGAGCGTCCTGGCTTAATAAACCCTCTTTTTAGATTTTTATCAATGTATTTTCTCATTTCCTCCATTTCCTTTGGAGTCATGGCATACATTCTGGGTTTCGGTAGCTTTGCTCCAGGAACCAAATCAATAGCGCAGTCCTTTGATCAATGTGGGGGCAGTCAGTCACTCCCCTCTTCATTAAACACAGCTGCTAGATCTTCATACTCAATTGGATAGTTATCCATGATTGCAGGGGTTTTCTCGCTGTTCATGGGCTTTGCCAGGATTGCTTTCATTTCCTCCTTCTCCAATGGGTTCAGGCCCACTGCCAACCAAATCTTTCTAAACCCATCTTCCCTGATCACCATTTTGACTGGCTCCGTTCTATGGGTAGCCAGTAGTCCTCCCAATATAGACCCATCCACTTGTTCAAATTTAATAGGTTTAATTAATCTAAAGACCCGTAGCCCAAGTTTATCCACCACCGCCTGGGTTACTAAACACCTTGTAGACTCAGAATCTATCAGTGTTCCAAACTCCTTTCCCTGATGTGTGCATTTATTCCATAAAGTGACTGGTATGATGGACAAATAGGCCCACTCACCATCAGATCCTCAACACGTTCTTCTTCCGTGCCATAATCATTTGATGTATCTGGAAGCGGGGTGGTCTTTTTCGATCTCTCCATTTCTAACTCAGTGCTTACATTAACCAATCCTCTAGAACGGTCAGAAGTTTGCCACAACCGAGGTCCAGGCCTCCCTCTGCCCAAAGGTGATGATACTTGAGGTACATGTGATCCTGACAGGGGTGGTATCAGGCAATTAAGTGCACGGTCTCCTGGCTTATTACAACGGAAACATCTAAATGTAACTCTAACCCCCTGTGCTTGGATAGTAGATAAGCCCCTGACTCCAGGTCTACTGTAATTCCCAGCCCCTCTTCACACAAAGGAATCACTTTTGGGCTTCAACCGTCTTAGCCCTGAATCCAATTCCATTGTCATCTGGTACCACTCCTGTAATGTTTTTGGTAAACCACGGTATAGAAAAGCTTGATGCAAATCACGATCCAGTCCCTCTTTAAACAGATGAGTCATTAATTTCTCTGGCTAGGAAGGGAGTTTCCTGGCTACACGTCTAAATTCATGTACATAGTCCCGAGCAGACCTGCCTTTTTGTTTTAATGTCAATGTCATCTGCTGCTTGTTGTCCATGGGAACCATCCTCAAAATGTGCTCGTAAAGCAGCTAAGAACAAACCAATGTCGCCTAGTTCCACTGCACGTTCACGTTGTAAGTCCGCCACCCATTCGCTAGCCTCTCCTTCCAGGACACCGGTCACCGTCACTGCTATGGCCCAACGGGAGGGGTACTATTGTCCGTACAAATCTAAGTAATTAATCACTTGTCCAAGAAACACAGCTACCCTGTCTGCATTTCCATCAAAAGAGGCATTCAGAGGTGGGGGTCCCCACATCCCTGGTTGTGGTCCATCCAATGGGGTCACCAAGCTGGTAGTTCCAGAGATGACAAACCACCAGAAAAATGACTCCCATCTCTAGGAGAACCTAACAACCAATCATGTGTACTAGTTGAATCAGTCTCTCTCTTCTGACCATCAGAGCGAGGTACACCCAATATTGTATCAGACCTTTTTACTCGCAGCTCAGATCACTCTGAACCAGGTTTCACATCTATATCCTGCATTCCCAGGGGACTGGAACTATACAATGGGTCACGGGCAGATACAGCACTGCGTCTTCGATCCCACAAATCCTTTGAGGGTGGCTCTCTACCAGTGTCACATCCCCGAACTGTCTTCATAATACATTTAAAGTATCACTGCTAGGCGCTGCCCACCTGCTGTCATCTAATCCAGGCCACTTCCTCACCTTCCAGTCTTGGGGCTGTTCCTGCAGACGTGGTTGCTTTCTGGTATCAATGTGAGGACTTGCTTGACCGAATGGTTCACTCAGCCTAACCTCCTTTCTCACCTTGGCTGTCTTAGGCTTTACCACTGGACTCAAAACACCGGATTCTGGCTTCTTTTCTTCCTTATCATCCTCAACCACCTCCTCTGCCACCTCAGCCTCAGCTTCCACCGTCCATCCAGGTTCCGTTCCCTCTGCCATTCTTTCTTCCTTTTCTACTCTCTCAATGTATGAAGAAAAAGTGAGCGCTGACTTTCTTTCAGCTTCAACTGGGTACTGGAGCATCTTGCTAATAAATCACTCTACTCACAATTGGTATGGTGAAATTTATTACAGCAGTTCCAGTCCTGATAAGCAAAAACGGTATTTCCTGAATGAAGTCAGCGCTGAGAGCATCTCTTGTCCCTCCCATCTAACAACCTGACATCCACTACTGCATTATCTACTCCCGCATCTCCTCCCTGTGCCTATTTGTCACCGCCTAATCTTTATTTACATTCCTTTCTCTCCCTGTGCTATCTGTATCCTTACCTACCTCCTATTCCCCCCCAATCTATCTGAATCAGGATCATAAACCCCCACCAACTGATATTCCCAAAGCGTGGTTTACATCAACGCACGGTCCGGAAATAAGCCTGATGACTGATAAGTGTCCATGTGCCTCTCAGCTGTCTCAAATCAGCATAAATGACAGTCATCCACACATCCATCAGTCTCGCTGCCCCAGCGATGTGTCGGGCTCCGAGCGAGTGCCAGACATGAGTAAATTCCCAGAGTCCGACAGAACCTCTCCCAAACACATCACCCCTGCTTCCCAGTTCCAAATCTGTTGGGGAATCACTTCCCCCCCCTCCCCCTGCCCAAGGGGGTAAGGAAAGACAATAGGCTAGGGAAGGAGTGGCCTTCCTTCCATTTCCGACCTGCAGAGCCTCCAGTGAGGCAGCCGATGAGGCTGACCCTGATGCTGCGCCCCCCACACCCAGCGGGTTGCTCAAGGCTGGCACCAGGCCCAGAGAATTGGAGCTGGATGAAGCCAAGGAAGCCGAGATGGAGACAATGGGCGGTGTGAACTGCCCGCTGCTTTCAGAGCCAGCTCTCTCTCACGCTGGAGGAGACTTCTTGGCTGGCCGGCTCTTGGAGTTGCTGCTGCTCTGCTGCTGCTGTTGGCACTTAGCATGGCGATGGCGCGTGCGCCCACAGAGGGCTCTAAGTGCCACCTCTGGCACACGTGCCATAGGTTTGCCACCCACTGATCTAGATGGAGATCGCTCATGAGAATATTTTTATATTTTGTTTAATAGAGCACAAAAAGTTGTACAAGATGGCCAAGTTTTGTTTCCCTCAACAAAACATTGCCGGAAATATTATGTCTCAAAGTTGCTGAAACCTCAAGAGTCATACTGAAGAAGGCTGCAGTATGGGGTCAAACAAATGACTATATCTCCACAAGTATTGCATTGGCAAACATAACATTTTACCAATGTCCATTGGGGACATGTGTGCATGTTCGCACTGGGAACAGGCTCCCCTGGGTCCTCTGCTTCACTGCTGCCAGACTCCAAAGGCTCTGAAGGCAGCACCCCACTCCCAGATGGTCCTGGTCCCGTCCCTGCATCAGATGCAGGACCCTCATCCAAGTCCTCTCCAGACTCCCTGACTGGTTCCCTTTCTTCCTCACTGTCCGATTCCACTACTGTCTGCACCAGCTTCCGGCAAACCACAACAGACTCAGACTTCCTGAAGGGTGAAGTTCTTTTAACGTACGTACAAAGGGCCGTTCCTACGTAGAGTGTGCCACTTCTTTTCTAACGCATGGACCAGTTTTGGACAGAAATCAGGTAGTATCAGTTCCTGGGCCCTGTGGAACCAAGAGTTCACATTTGGCATGAACGAAGGGTCCAAACTCAAGACAACTCATTTGGGGTGAAAAATACAGAGCTCCTTCCTGACAGATAAGGCAGACAAGTCCGAAATCCGTCTGGCCACTTTGCAAGACAAAAATTGCAGAGTAGATCTCAGTGGTTCAAATGGAACCTCAGTCAGCAAATGCAGTACTTTAGAGAGGTCCCATGTGAAGTATCAATGAACCACTGGAGGCCGCAGATTTGTAGCCCCTTTAAGAAATCTGCAGATGGTATGATGCCTGGATAGGGATTCTGAGCCCCCCAAAGAAAGTACAGAAGGCCGCCACCTGCTGCCATAACATGTTAGGTGACAGGCCCTTGTTGAGTCCTTCTTGAAGAAAGTCCAGCACCTGGGTGACTGAGGCCTCAGTAGGATCCAACCCAGATTATGAGCACCATTCACAGAAAGCCCTCCAGGTCGCATCATAAATGGAAGGCCTCCTGGAAGCCTGAATGGTTTGTATCACCTTGGAGGAGTAATGGTCCCAGATCAGAGATCTCTGCTCAATCTCCAAGCAGTTAACTGAAGCCACTGGGGTTCTGGATGTAACAAGGGTCCCTGGCTGAGGGATACTCTGTCTACCGGCATCCTCCAAGGGCTGGTCACCGATAGGCTCACCAAGTTGGCAAACCATGGCCATCTGGGCCAGTGAGGGGTGACAAGTATGAGATCCGCCCTTTTCCCCAATAGTTTCTATATCACCCTCGGGATAAGGGGCAATGGAAGAAAGGCATAGAGGAGTGCCTGAAGCCAAGGGCTGCGTAAGGCATCCCTCCCCTCCGCCCCTGGAACTGCAAACCTGGAAAAGAATCTCGGAAGTTGTGCGCTGTCCTGAGAGGAGAAGAGGTCTACTGCTGGTCATCCAAAGTGCTCTGACAGCTCCTGAAATAAAGCGAGGTGCAAACGCCACTCTGTATGGTCTATAGTGGCTCTGCTAAGCCAGTCTGCTTCAACATTGGATACGACAGAAATATGCTCTTCCCTGAGCGAGACGTGTTTTGCCGCCCAGAGGCACAGTTATTCTGCCTCTAGCATCAGGGGTCTAGAATGTGTTTGCCCTTGGCAATTTATATGTGCCTTAGTGGTCACATTGTCAGTTAAGACCAGGACGTCCTTGTCTGATACTATGTTTGGAATTGCCTCAGGGCCAGATGGACTGCCCTGAGTTCTAACCAATTGATATTATGGTCCAAATCGGCCCGGGACCACTGTCCCTGGACCATCATGGATTGGAGAGGAGTTCCTCAACTGTAAAGGGTCAGTGGTCGGAACCAGCCGGTTAGGTTCTTTGAATCAGTTTCCTAAGGAAAGGGCTTGTGACGATCACCACCTAAAGGACTTAATAACTTCTGGTGGTACCCTGAGTTGGGAATGGGAACAACCCCTGCCTGCCCTTTGATATGGTAGAAGAAACCATTGGAGAGCCCAGGTGTGCAGGCGTGCCCAGGGCACTATAGCAATACATGAAATCATTTTGCCTAGGAGCCTTGAAAGCAGAACCAGGGGTACCCTGTGCTTAGATTTCACCAGAATAATTAATTTCCTGATACTCGGCTGATGCTCCTGGGATAAGAAAACCTTGCACACCATGGTATCTATTACGGCTCCCAGATAGAGTAAGCTGTCAGTGGGAGTGAAATTGGCTTTTGGCCGTGTTTACAGAAAAACCATGCTCCTGGAGCACCTGGATGGTGATCCTCAAGTCCTCTGCTACTTGAGAAGCAGAAGAGGACTGACAAGGATGTCATCCAGATAACACTGGACTCTGACTGGGATAGCCCTAAGGTGAGCTGCTAGGGCAGCTAACAGTTTTGTGAATGTTCTAGCTGCAGACGAAAAACCAAAGGGCAAGGCCCTATATTGAAAATGTCTGTCATTATAGAAGAATCTGAGGAACTGCCTATGGACATGTAGATAGGCTTCCATTAAATCAATAGAAGTGAGGAAGTCCCCTTCCCTAATTCCATCCAGAATAGACTGGAGAGAATGCATCTTGAACCGCCTATATCTTAGTCAGTGGTTTAGACGCTTCAGACCCAGAATTGCCCTCCATCCCCCCAAGGCCTTTGGGATGACAAACAGGATGGAATAAAATCCCATCCCTTGTTGGTCCTCAGGCACCGGCTGGATTGCGTGGATTTCCAGCAGGTGCTGAATAGCTGTTTCCATGAGAACCCTTTTCTCCCTGTTCTTAGAAACAGGGCAACAAATGAAAAACCTCGGGGATATGGCTAGGAATTCTAGAGAAAGGCCCGATCGGACCATCTCCAGGACACAGGTGTCTGTTGTTAGTTCCTCCCAACATCTGGCAAACAAGGCCAGACATCCCCCAATGGGAGGTGTGACAGAAGATTTATCTAGGGCGACGGAAGGGACGACCCCCTCCCCCTTGAAAGGGCCACTTGTTCTGAAACTGGCAGTTTCTACCTGTCCGGTCCTGCTGTTGTTCTTGACTGGGGATGAAAGGCCTCTGGGATTTAGAGAACCCCACTCCAGCTTCCGTTGCCCTAAAAGAGGGATGGCGAAAGTAAGGCATCGAGCGGAATTTGCCCTGTCTTGACCTGGAAGGTAAAATCTTCCCGTAGCTTATCCCCCTTGAAGGAGGAAGTGGCCAACCTCCACTTATGCCTCATGTCTGCCTGCCATTGCCTGAGCCAGAGTAGACAGTGAGAGGCCACAGATGATCCTATCGCCTTTGAAGTGAACCGCACTGAGGGTGGCATCAGCAGAGAACTCAACAGCTGCCAAGAGTTTATTGATGCGCTGATGAGATCTCACATCATTAGCTGGAATTCTCTCCTGCAGTTCACGCAGCCAGATGAGGGATGCCCTGTTGAAGAATGATGCAGCAGTGGAGGCCTTCACTGCCCAGGCTGCTGATTGATGAGTCCTTTGAAGTGTTTGTTCCGCCCACTAGTCTTCTGCTCTCAAGGAGTCTTCAGGCTCACCAGGAATCTCAGAAACAGACTGCAGGGCAGTTACCGGGGCATCTACTGTGGGTACAGCCATCTCCTCCACTCTCCTATTCACACAGCCAGCATTTTCAGTAGAGTCCACCATTTTGTTGCCTGAGCTGTCAGGGAGCCTGCATTCCCTCGGATTTACACCTGCTCAGGGAACGTAACTAACACCAGGCAATCTCTTAAGGCAGTCAGAAATCACAGGCTATCCCTCTCTGACAGTTCCCATTGCACCCCTTAGCCAGAAGCCACAGAATCAAATGGCCGTCAAAGCAGAACTTTAAAAGCGCTCCGAAGCACAAGAAAAAACTCCTTTTCAAGCCTCAGACCGTCTGTGGTGTGGAAGTTATCTCAGTCACACCAACAGTCAAACAATTTACCTCAGTTGAATTTGATCGGCCCTTAGCTGATCAGTGTCAGCCAACACGGGTCAAAACCTGGACCGTTGATCTTTTGACAGCTGGTAGACTGGTAACCAGCTGTTGTCCTTATAGCACTCAGGATTGGATTTGTCAGATTTTTTTGCTGTTAACTGTTCCAATTTTCAGAGCAATGGAAAACACGCTGTCCTAGCTGCTTGACTGAGTCAATTTCTGGGGACCCTTGGTAACAGGGGAATGTCCTCACAGATCTGACAGACTCAGTCCAATCAGCTAGCAGCAACTGACTACCCGATCCTGGATGCTATCTCCACCACAAAGGAGAATGCTTACTGCACAAGCTATGTCTGGTCTGGACCACTGTGACAGACATAATAGGCTCCCTATTGCTGACTGATATATCTCTTGATCACAGGCTTCACTTTCGTCCTCACCCAAACTGTTATGAAAATCTGTACTCATAGGTGTTGGAGCAGTATTACAATTTTTCATGTTATATCTCTCCAACAACTGTTCGATTTTTCTTTTTTGACTGAGAATATAACTACCTTTCTCAGTCTTTTGTATCTCTACACCAAGATAATTTTTTATTTCTCCCAAATTTTTTAATTCAAATTTCTTCTCCAACTTATTAGCAAATTCATTTACCTGTGATACATCCTTTGCAATGAAGCAAAGATCATCCACAAATGCTAGTAGTTGACAATCCCCACCTTTTAACTTTCCAGTGTATATGCAACCATCAGCCTTGCAACTCTTGAACCCAAGACCTTTCAATGCAGTATTTAAACAGATATTCCAATTCCTGACTGCTTCATCCCATAAATGGCCTTGTTCAATTTATGTACCATGTTAGGCTTTTTACTTTCATACCCTGGTGCTTGAACCATGTAAATTTCTTCCTCTAATTCTGCATTGAAGAATGCAGTGGTGATGTCAAAATGCCAAATTTTATGGCCATGTGCCGCTGCCAATGCTGGTGCCAGCCTGATGCTTTCACTCTTTACAGTTGGCGCAAATACTTCATCTTAGTGCACATCTGTGAAAACCCTTGTGCCACTAACTTTGCTTTATATTGTACCTCATTATTGGGCAGTACTTTCTTCTTGTATACCCACTTGCATCCTACAGCTTTGCTACCCCTGTGGCAAAGTCATAGATGTGAACACTTCATGTTCTCCCATGGATTTCATTTCCTTGTCCATGACTTCTTTCCACTTGTTCAATTATAGCTAATGCCAATACTTCCTTATAGTTTCTTGGCTCATACCATACATTACACACTTTAATTTTACTAGCAGAATACCTGTCAGGTGGAATCCCTTTCTTCCATCACTCTGACCTGCGTGGCATTGACTGTTCCTGTGCTTGAACCTTCTCTTGCTTCATGTCTTGTTCATTTTGCTTTATGAGACACTTCCCATTTACAAATGTGGTCTCAAATCCTTGTCTAAACTAGAGACACTCAGCAAAATATGCTCCATTTCAGGCACACATTAATACATCATTAAAACTTGTTTCCAGATATGGAATTTGCACACTGCCTCTTCCAATGACTTTAGCCTTCTGGCCATTTGCCAAGGCTACTGCATCTCCAGCAGCTAGATCCATCATGTAAAACAATATAGAATTATTAACAACTGTTTGACTTGCACCACTGTCTATCAACCATTTGTCTCTGCTATTGCAATAGATGACTTTTGCCACAGCAACTTGTCCATCTGCTGATTTTCTTCAATGCAAATTGTTTTTCCTTTGCAAACAGTCCTTCTTTAAATGTGTCTTTTCACCATGAATGAAACACCTCCTCTATTGCTGGGTGTGGTAATATATCTTATTCATCATATTCTGTAAGTCCTTCGTACAGTTTTGCATAAGATCTGGGGATTTACAAACACTCCTCATGGGGGCAGTATTGCCTTTATGATGGGTGTTTGGTCCTGTTTTGATCTGCAAAGCTTAGAAGGAACCAGGTATATCGGTGAAAGGTCATAGTACCCAGCCGAGCCATTCCCGTGGGACTTTCCGTGCTTAGATATTCTCATGGGACTTTTCACAGTATATTATCACCCTGCTGAGGTAATGTTGAGGTCATTGTTTTGATTTTGTACTTGCAATTTCTTTCAATAAAAGCTGGTACCTGGGTTCTCTCGGGGCTGGCATTTGCTCAGACGGTTCCCTGCGTCTCATTTCAAGTGCCAGACCACCACAGCTGGGCTGTAATATGATCTGTTCTGCTGCTTTTTTCTTCTCTGCAGACAGCTTGTCTGTTGCTCTGTTCTTTGGAGACAACCAGTCTGTGGAACTTTCCATTGCTCTTATCTCTCTGCTCCTTGGGCAGGGATTCCTCAGGAATTTCTCATGGCTTTTTTCTAAAATAGTGCTTGTTCTCCTCAGCAATCAAACAAGCCTTTAAGGCTTGTATAACTTTCTTGATAATTGTGCAATATTGTATGCAGACACACTCACATGCACACTTCTCAACTTCAGCCATACCTCCTTTGTAGTCTTTAAATCAGCTACATTGATAAATTGTTCATCTTCTAAACTTAAGATAGCGTAAGCCATTGCTTTATCATGCTGTCTCTGATCTTTAGCTGTCAACGGTGTCTGGGGTAGATTCACAACAATATCCCACAGCACCTTAGCCTTCAGGAAACATTCCATCTTTGCAGCCCAAATTATATAGTTCTTCTGTCCCAAACAAGACAGAGAGCTCTCTTTAATTTCCACAGCAGCCATCCTGTAAGCCTTCTCTGCCTGGTTCTCTTTTACTATAACACAGGCAGTCCTTCAGCTTAATTACAATTCAGTCTTTCTATGTGCTCTGGGCTGGGCCCATAACCTATTAAGAGTTTGTTGCAGAAAATCAAATCCAGAAAGCACACACAGATAACTAATTCAGTAGGATTCATTAACTTTGTTATATACATAACTCATGAAGTAAATTTACAATACCAACAGTAGATCCTTCCAACATGGTAGCAGTTACAGGCAAAACACAAGCAGGGGAGAGGCTCCTTCCAGTCCTCATCGGCTGACTTAGTTGCTATGCCTATTCAATGGCTGACCTTGTTACCATGCCTCTGCCAGTACATGAATATTCTGACACTATGATACTGAAAGACAATAACCAGTTATTTGTACCTGTGAGAGGCTCTGGAAATTCCTGGACTGTCCTAATAAAATTAAGAGGAAGATGGGTGGTAGGGTGGGGAATAATACAGAAATGACTCATCACAGTATTTTACCAATGATCTTCATAAAGTTAATAGCTCACTATATAGAAACTGGGATCAGGTTTTAAAACAAATTTGGGGGGAAATGCTTTTCTACACGCATAGCCAAGTTCTTTCCATCAGAAATAATACAAAATGCTTGAATGGTAATTTTTGTCATTCTGTTTGATGGGAAGACATAAAAAAGTAGCTGGAGAGCTGCAGAGAACACGACATGAATAAATCACATGCATGCACACCCATGCACAGTGACATCCAAAACATACCTTTGAAATCAACCATGAAGCACAGGAAGGAAAGATACCTATTTTGGAATACCTTTCACGGTCCCCAGACTGGGATAGAACTGAAAATCTGTGGGGAGATTTCAAGTATACAGTGCAAGTAAGACCAAAGAATATTTCTGAGCTGCAAGGAACTGTAAAATTTATTCCAAAAGCAAGAAGACAGACACTTTTAGCTGGCTTCAGGGAAATGCATTATCTGCCAGAGGAAGTTTTACAAATACTGACTGAAAGGTTATCCAAACTTGTACCGCATCCATATTAACTATTTTTTTATCTTGAATAAACAACTACACATAACTAGTAAGAATACATTCAGATTTGCAGAAAGACGTAATGTTTAATACTCTACTATGTAGGTGTTGTTTCAACTTCTGTTCAGTTACGGCAGGGGTGTCAAACTCAAGGCCCATGGGCCAGATGCAGCCCACGGGGTGCTTAAATCTGGCCCATGGGACTGCCCTGGAAACAAGGACGGACCAGTCTGCAGTGTCTCTGCCAGCAAATACAAAACAAAAACAAAAGGAGAAATGTTTCCTCTTTTGCATTTGAGCATCCAAGAAGGGACACGAAAGGAGAAGTGGAAAGAGGAAGGACAAAGAAAAAAAAGGAAAGGTGGGAAAAGAGCAAGGAAGGAAAAAGAAGGAAAGAGGGGAAGGAAGGAAGGAGAATAGGGAGGGAGGGAAGGAGGGAGGGAGGGAGGGAGGGAAGGAAGGAAGGAAGGA